TGAACAGAAATATTTCCCTTTCCCATAGATGAATTAATATACAAGAGGAAAATGTGACAAAGAAAAAAATATACAGACCTGGCTGTGCACCCAACTCAATAACATGCAACTTGGATATAATTTGACCAGCATTAAGTGTCTTAGTGGCAAAAGAAATTAAAGTAGAAGGATTTTCATTCCCAGGAACCTGTCCAAAAAACACTCCAATTTTCTAATACATACGTAGTATGATAGTAAAATATAGTAGTATTTTTTCAAGAAAATATAAAATTAACAAAGGAAAATATACACAGAATCATAAACAGACGCACTTTAAATTGAGCAAATGCTGCAGCATGTGCTTCAAGAGCCTGGCTGCGCTGTTGATCGACAGAGAAGAGTTGCATGTTTCCTTTAACCAATTGTGGCCTCTAGTACAACACAACATACCATAAAAGCACTAGATCAGACTAATGCAAATTACAGATAATAATAAACCATGATTGTTTTCATGGACCAACTATCCCAGTAGCATATGTTAGATAAATGGTTTTATATACAATTCCTCCTCCTTTGAGCTTGAAGTGCGAACAACACAAAAGCCCATTATTCCTTTGTGCTGAAATTTAACTTTTATTAGAGGAACAAGGGCAATGAAAAAACAAACTCTAGATCACTTAACCAAGGAGCTCTAATACCATGCCAAGGACAATTTTCCCAACATCCTATGCCTTAAGGTTTTCAGTTTTAATATCTTAATAATATTCACAAGATTTTACAGATAAATTAAATAGAAACTGATTAGAAGAAAAGGAATATGAGCTAAAAGAAAAACCTAAATAACTGAAACAAGATAACTGACTTTCTAATTTCTATCTATAACAGGCACTAGAGATATACCTCAGGGGAACCTGGAGCAATACCAATCAAGACCAACCATTTTTCAGATGGATCACATCGATAATTAATTATTTGATTGTTTGCCAAATTTGCTGTTCTCTCAAACATCTTCACGGGTTCAGAGTCACCTACAAATTACATATACCAGACAATTATACCAGTGCACAATATGCAGATGGGCGATAAACACACTAGTAACAATGCTTAAAGCAGAAAACATAGCACAAATTCACAAAACCATGTAGTTAAGCATGATTGCATTTTATCATAGTCTTACCTTCGATTGACCAATGGTATACAGAGGTCTGTGTCACAAGACCCAACAACTTGGGGGTAATCCACTTCCAAAAGACCACCTGCACATGAAATGAGGGCATTCCACAATGATTAACAAAATTTTCCTTATAACAGTGCTGTATACTTGTACATAATAGTTACCTGCTCAGGCATCTGATAAGATTTCATCTTTGCTTTCATTTCAATGTTAAAAATTTGTAGGTGATCTTGAGTTGTTCCTTGTAGTTGAGCTTCAAGAGAATGATGTAACTTAGAAGGGAATATGATCCAAAAGTAAATACTAATTAAGGTGCAACACAAACAGAAGCTTGTGATATAATCAAATAAAACCTTGAATTTTCTCCCAATAGTTGGAAAAGCTATAAACATACAGCAATTTTAATACCCACCTTTTTCTTATAGCCAGGGGCACTTTTTCTTGAAATATAACCACTTTCCAGATTGACAAATGATGGTGACAAGAATAATATATATCATGACAACGTTTAATTGGTGTAATGTGAATTGTGAATGATAAATAAAATACAGCATGGAGAAAAATGATCATCAGATTCATAGCATTACAGGCGATGAAATCCATCCTCTAGTGACTTCCCTTTCCTAACTGAAATTTAATCTAATAGTCCTATTACCTAAGCATGTGAGAGTGAAAACATACGTAGGATAGTTTTCTTCTCTCAATATATTTATATCACATAAGGACATGATCTCATGTATGAAATTGATAAATAAGAAACAAACAAAGATCCCTGTTTCACCCCTATGATCAGGCTACTTAAAGGACACACTTAAGAATCTAGAATGCAGAATTAATGTTTCAGAAGCAACTAAAGACCTGAAAACCAAAATTAACTCAGGCCATACTCTCATTGAACTAAGTCAAACTAGTCACGAAATGGATATGTTATTCCACATTTCCACTCCTAGTCAAACTAGTTGAAACTAAGCAGTTTGATTCATATAATGATTGCTTCAATGCCAAAAACCTAAGGAACTTGCTTCATCTCTCCAAAAAAGTAAATATATAAAGAAACTAAGCTCCCAATAAATATTGATATCTACAATGACATAAAAAATTCAAATCAATAGCAAAATGCCAGTAGTTAGATTATCGACAATACATCATCACTAGCCAGTAGCCACAAACACAGCTCACAAGCTCATGAGAAGAATACAAGGGAACAGTAACCTACCTTTCAGAGCAAGGATTCTGGAATTCGGATTCATAAGAGCGGAATCTGCGGTGATAGGCCTCCTCAAAGGCTGCATCGGCATGTTCATATCAATGATAACGACACTATTCTGCGGAGCCGTTTCTCGAACGCATATATACTTATCGGACTCCATCGTCACATGCGTGAAGGTGATGAACTGCGGATTTATGCCAATGCTCGGCAACTGCAGTCACAAATCACGAATCACATCACTCAATTCACAACACACAGGCAACAGCTTCATGAATGAATTTCTAGCTCTAGAGTTCAGACACTGTACAAGACACATCCAGATCTACGCAAACTCAAAAGTAAGAAAGTAAAGTAGCGCGGCGAAGTTCGCAACGCCACCGATCGAATCTACCGCGGAATACTCGATTCGGAAAATCGGAATCTAGTAAAGCGTAAGAGTAAATTGAAAAACTTGGATAGCTATTATTGTGCTATAAAGATAGCATGTATTTGCTGTAGTTAAGTTCGGAAGTGGAGCTGCGAATTGAGCTAAGGAATGGAGAGAAAAAGAAGAGTACGGGAACTTACGGTGAGAGGTTCTCGCATGGCAATCGGAGCGTTGGCGGCCGCCATGACGGCGTGGATCGGAGAACGGATCTGCGGCGGCGATAGAATTGGAAGACAGAGAGTCAAAAGAGTGATCCAAATCGGCGCAAGATCTGGAAGCAAGTTGGACCCTCTAAAGCGAAAGGAGAGAGAGATCTACGGGGAAGAAAGAAAAAAGGAGGTGACACTAATAAAGCGGGGTTAGAGTGAGAATGAGAAGAGAAAGAAAAAGAATTGAATTCCAATGATGAAAATAAACGACAGAGAACAGAGTGAGAACCTTGTGAGCTAATAAAGCAAGATTAGCGAATTTACGAAAATAAATTTAAAATCCTATGATTGTATTATATTTACAGCCTAGCAATTTGGTAGATATGCGAGTGATTTTTTATGTTCAGATATGTGATTAAATTGATGACAAATTTGTTTATAATTTTCTCAAAGTAATGATTAAGAAATTAATCAATATTTTAGAAAAATAATATTAAGATGACCATACATTAATAATATTAAATTAAATATTATTTTTTAATTAAAATTCACTCTTATTTTTATTATTATTTTTGAGACAGTAATTAACATAACTGACTTCGTAATAGCTTAGCTTTGATTTTACGGACAGCAGAACCGGGTAAGGATTCAACCAATTCCTTTCTGTCTTTTTCTTTTTTTAATTTATGTTCATTCGTGTTAATTTGATAACGATTTTGAAAATCAGGTATTTTTCTTTCAACACATAACATATGGGTTTAATTTTCCGACAGTAAATTACATTGGCATTTTAAAAAATTATATAAATAATTTCAATTATTTACTTTTATAATAAATAATAATCTTTAATTGTTCAGTCAAAAAAAATAATCTTTAATTGTTTGAAAAAAAAATTATTACATTAGCATTCATTATTCGTTACATTAACTTTTTAATCATTTAAAAAATATTACACTATAACTCTTTAATTATTTTTAAAAATATTACGCTATAACTTTTTTAAAGAAGGTTAATGTAAACATCACCAAAAAAAATCAAATATTGTTATTATATTTTCACACAACTTCAAGAAACATTATTATAATTTATTCATTTCCTTATCAATAATTGATGTATGATTCGTCAGTAAATATTCAATGAGTCCATTAGTTTAAATTTATTTTAATTAAAACACATATTTGCTTAAATTAATCATTTTAAAAATAATTTTATAAACTTAAAAAATTACTTTAAAAAATACTTTGTTCATGATATTTTTGAGTTTTAAAAAACCGTATGTTTAACCATTATCCTTTTTGAAAAGAGGATTGCTATATCCACCAAACAAAACATCGAAACAGCCTCCGAACTATTAAAGTTTTGACACCTTTTGATAATTATATTAAAAAATATTATTTAATTTAATGTTTTATAATTTAAGTTAATTTTGCATAATTCGGAACAGTCTCCAAACTTTTAAAATTTTGACACCTTTCAGTAATCATATTATTAAATAATTATTTAATTTAATTTTTTATAATTCGAAACGGCTTTAGGAGCGTTATTTCGGAGGAAAAAACGTTTCTTTTGAAAAGTACAAAATGGAGACAAAATAAACTAATACTAATCAAAGGAAAAGGCAAAAGCAAAACCCATTGTCAGAGAAATATTGTAAATAGCTAATTGCAATTTTACGCAGAAATTATTCTGAATTATGTAAAATGTAAAACAATTGTATCATTTCACATACACAGTACTAAATTAAAAAAAATGGAAAATTAAATCATAGCAAGATTAATTTTGCGAGTAAATGGTCAAAAGTTTTTGCCCCAGCCCCAATTATTATAAAAAAGAACAAAAGCCATTTATATGTTATAGATATACACGCCATTTTAACTTTTCAAACCACAAAAATGTCATTCGAGTAGCACTTTGAAAATTATTGTGCTGCGCTAATTATGCACATTAACAATATATTTTTATTTTCAAATAAAATGCATAGTTAAGGCAATTCAGCCAATTTTGAGGCCAAAATAAAATAAAGGAATTTATAAAAGCTGAAATGGGATTGAGTTATAGCAATTAGGAAAGCAGCACCAAAAATAATGCATATCATAATCGAATGTTTGAACTTTGAACATGAACACGAAACACTAACCATAAAAGATCATCCAACAAAACTGTAACAAGATGAAAATTTGTATCTAGCTATTAAGATAATGTATCAAGCGCGATCACAAATTCACCGAAATGAAAAAAGAAATCCCTCAAAAGACACGGTAAGATTTTCCCATGGTACTCTTCAGATACAAGCACCTAACCTGAAATCAACAAAAATTCATCGTAAGATTGAGCAAATAAAAATAGAATGAACAGTTGCAAATGCGACACTGGCACATTTGTGCCCAAAGTCATCTAAGGCCAAAAATTAAACACATGCCAACTATAACATCATTTGACAAACTTCCATTCTTTGATTTGAAATCACATTAGGTGAGATCACAGTCACACTAGGAATGGAAATTAAGGGCATATTGGACAGGTTTAATGTAAGAAAAAGAAACAAGGACATATGACAGCATCATCTACATAAGCATATAAGATAAAACCTATGATAAACATGGATTTGATCCGTGCACATTTAATATTCATGACTACTCTTAATGTAGCTGAACTTTTTAATTACACCAATATCTACAAGAACATATAACTAGTAAAGCACAGAAAAAAAATGTAAAAGCAGCAGAAGTTTTACTACATATTATGAGTGGACTACTCACATTCTGCCAGTTCTTTTTCAACAAGGATACCAAGAAGTTAACACTCAATTGCACATTTTGGAAGATTTGCTTTTCCTCCATGCTAACATTGCCCACAGCTACTCCCATGCAGAGCACCTTCTTAAGTTGAAATTTGACCATAGCCTTGGACTCATTAACCTTTGACTCAAGAGTTTCCTGGTGAGTAACAAGTGTAGGGAACTTTCCTGCATAGTTATACAACATACCAAAATCAGTTAAAGTTATTAGAATGAAAAACACAACATCATATATAACAGTTGTTTCAAAGAAAGCAAGCCACTGTATGCAGGGGAAGGGATGGAATAAAGCATGGGCGAGAGGAAACAGGGAATCATTTTGGATATAACAATGCAGATCAAATTTACTAACCATATATATATATATACAGTAGAAACTCTTTAAATTAATACTCGGTAAATTAATAAACTCTCTAAAATAATAAATTTGTCCGGTCCCGACTTAGGCCAATGTAAAAAATTGAAAAACTCGATAAAATAATAAGATAATTTTTCGGGAGATCCTTTTATAATTTTCGGTCCCAAAAAAATCATAAATTAATAATTCATAGAAACTGAAAAAAATATATTACACTCTAACACATTCATGTAATTTATATATGCCAAACTTGCTTAAGAATACATTGAACACATTTGTTCCTTTTGTTTACATTTACTGTACTTCAAAAGTCATTATTGATTTCCAATGCATATGTACTTCAAAAGTCATTACGTATTGATTTTCAATGCATATGTACTTCAAAAATTACTAATTTACGTTGAATCTCAAGGTTCGCAGCAACGTAATTCTAAGAAGCATAGACTAATTTTCCTTTTTATTTGGTATGTACAGTATAATTACTTAAAAACTCTTTAAATTAATAATTATTAATTATCGATAAATTAATAACTCTCTAAATTAATAAATTTCTCCAACATTATTAATTTAAAGAGTTTCTACTGTATATATATATATATATATATAGCAGAAGTGGCCAAGGGTTAATTAGAAACGGCAATCCCCTTGTGTAAAAATGATAAAATACTTAAGCAAATCACCAAAAAGTATCATATGTCCAAAGTGTTCAAAATCCTACACCAAGGAAAAAAATAAAAGCAAATACATGCCTGCCTTGTTGAGACCAGGACCCAAAAGACGTGGAATCTGCTTAATGACTGCTTCAGAAGCTAAAAAGGCATGGTATTTTTTAGCTAGCTTCTTCACCAACTTCTTATTTTTATTCAGCTTCTTCAGGGCTTCGACATCCATCCAGTCCAATCCAATCTTTTCCGCCTATAGATTAGAGTAAAAGACATTAACAAAACAAACTTGACAACCACCGGACAATATTTATTTGAGAAAACTCTTTAGAACAGAAGATAAAAACCAAAATCATCAAACCCACATGGATGGCATTCCTTTCTTCAAATGCATTTGCAAAATTACAGGAGCAGTGTCATTTCAAGACAATGAAGCCATTACTATCCATCAATAACTAACCAGGGGACAAAACTTAGATAGTGTACCAACATTGTACTCTCCTCGAATTAAAATTGGAATTTCATCTCAATTATTTGAGTACTAAAAGATTGAATTAAATGTCGATGAGATAAGGCTTCAATTCTAATTGGAAAACAGCACCAGCACTGTAATTAAGTTTTATCCTTAAGAGAAATCAAATAGCACGCAACTAAGCATGAAGGAAACCAAAAAGAGATGGTTCATCAAACAATACATTGCAATACAGACAAAATAAACATACCCTCCAGGTGCTATCTATCATAAAATACTCAAGAAAGGATAACAATGAAGCTCATGTTTTAAAATCGGGGTAGACTAACATTACGGATTGATGAATAGAGCAAATAGATACCTCTTCAACATGTTGAGCATCACCAAGCATGCAAATTTTCATCTTGGGGCGAGGGATGTGGGGCAACTTGACAGAGCCGCTGAAACGCTTGTCCTTTTGTGGATCGTAGTTCTTCAATCCAATCTGGAGCTCAATGGTCTCCACAAATTTGCGATTCTTCTCCTTGGAATCGGCCATGATTCCTGAGATGGCCTCTCGCAAAGCATCACTCTGAAGCTTACTGCATCACCACCAACCAAAAACAAATCAGAGACACCACACATGGAATTACACGCGAATGAAAGAAAAAAAAATGATGAGGTATTGTACACATGAGAAAACGCATAAAGGAGCTTAAAAAGTGAGAACGGAAAGAGATAGGAGAAGAGAGTGTAGGCACCTCATCTTTTCAAATCAGCGACTGAAGATCTCGGAGAGCTGTGAAAAACAAACACACATACAGTAGGAAATGTTAACGGCGGAAGAGAAAAAGGGAGAGACAAAATCGAATGGCAACTATTCAGAGAAGAGTGAGTACCTGAAGCGAAAACCCTAACTAGGTCTTGCGGCTCAAAGAATCAGTATATACATGGACACGAGGAGATGGAATGGGCTGGGCCTAGTTTCCAAATTATTTAAACGGGCTTTGCACAACTATCTTTTTTTTTTTTTTTTTTTTTCTAGTCTAAATGTATTTTTTTGATTTTTGAAACAATTAGTATTGGTATACCATAAAATAGAATTAAACTCGAGAGAAACTACTAGTGGAAATATATTTAGGCTTTTTAAAATAAATAAAAATGTAATAAGATCAAATGAGCACCCAAAAAATTCTAAATATAGTTGGTGTCAAAAAGAATCTAGATATTTTGATCTAATAATATCCATATAAACCAAAACATAACCAAAAAAAATAAAAACTAAGGATTAGATTATATAAATATAAATTAAAATTATCAATAGGAAATATAATAATTTTATAGAATAAATATAATAGTGTGATTTTAGGTTAAGTTTTTTATTATTATTTAAGGTATTTTATTTAAATAATTTTATATAAAAAGACATTCAGGTATGCAACGAGGTGGGTACTATAATACTAATAGGAGTGTGTTTGATTTGGCATTTAAACTGTATAAACACTTGTTCAACTCAAAGCAACACCTTTCTTGCTTCTGAATTCTTGTATTCGAAAATGGAAAATGATGGTTACATTCAAAAAAACGTGTATCCAAACATGCAGTACACCTCTGTCAAATTTTTTCAGGTAAATTCTTGTTCCTGCCTCCATCTCTATTATGTGATTTTTTACTTCTTATTGTGAATAACTTTTGCGAGTATTCGAGTAGATTTTGTCATCCTATAACTCATCATGTGGATTATACATGTTAATTCACTTAAAATTATAAAGGAAAAATATTAAAATCAAAATTAAAATAGTAAAAAATTTAAAACAGTAAATAAATCAAAGTATCAGTAGATTTATTATATTGTATTTCATAATTTATATATGTTAATAATTTAAAAAATCATATTGACATGTCAATTCTATATCTATATTTAATAGGATAAATTGTTATTATCTTTTATAATGACTAGAATCATACAGGGAATCACTCAAAAAATAGAATAATGAGAAGAATTAATAAATTAAGATTAAAAATAATAACTCAATGTTATTAAAATTTATTACAAACATCTTTTATGAGATTTTATTTTTATTTTTGACTAATTGTATTTTTGTTCTTTTTATTTTTGTTGATTTACAATTTTGATCTCTTTATTTTAAAATAGAAATAATTAGTTTATCTATTTTTAATAATATAAAATTTTGATCCTACTATTAATTTAATTTTTTTATCATTAAATTTTGACATTGTCTAATAATCTGTCATTATTTAAGTGACATAATATTTAATAACATGTCATATAGAGATAAAAATTAAAAATTAATATAACTACAAGTCATCATCATCCACACCATACTCACGACCTTATTCACTAGTGAATAACATGGATAGTATCTCAAACATCCCCTCATTTAGAAACTAAACTGCCAAAGTCAAATCAATTACTATTAAAATATCTTCAAAACAGGCTTTCCTCCCTTACAATCTTCAAGCCATGATAAATGTTCCATAACTCTACTTGAACCATTGAACAGTTTCAAGTTGCAAGAAAAAACAATCACAAAATTTCCCCGATAATCTTGCACTATACCACCAAAGGAGGCTATCCCATCACTAAGAGCACCCCTCACAGTAAAAATGCTATTGCTTGAACTATCACCCTTATTGTATTACTCTCTCTTTTATGTGTAATTCAACGAACTGTAGTAATCGTTTATTATCTATTTACATTATATTTTTCAATAATATCGGTATTGGCAGCTGAATTACAAAATTTGGCAAATGAATTTTATTTGAGAAATTATTGCAATGAATTATTTACTACTAATATTGATATTATTAAATTTTATAATATCTTATAATATTAAATAAATAAATAAATAATAAATAGTTAGTTGAATTGCACGAAGAGTAATTCCATGCTATTAAGGGTGACAAGCAGTAAAATTATTTTAACTTGCAGCAACCCATATATAGGAGGTTGCCCCCACTTGATTAAGTCAATTTGATTGTGACTTAATCTCACAATCGCCTGAATACTATTGAAGATAGTATTTTGGAAAACTTTATTACGCAAATGCCAAATGACATCAACCTCAACAGCAAAAACCATTTTCCAATCTATCAAGGGGTGACCAATAGAAGTTAAGTTTTCCTGTAACCAATCATACACATCAATCGAGAAGAAACCTTGTGGAAGTGGACCCTCCATCAAAGATCAAATTTGATTCAAAGTCCATTCATAAATATGTTGAAAATTTAAGGAAGGTCGAGAAAAATTATAAACAAAATCATTAAGAAAGAAGGTCAAAAAATTGTTTTTAGATATAATGTTTAATAAAACAGTATAACATCCCTTAATTTGATACATGTAACCAATATTGCATAACAAGAAGTAGTTTTATTCTTGTTTTTACAAACATTAAAATTGAAATATGTTGATATTGTTTTGTTAGTCTTTCAACCTGCTATCCGACTATCCGAGTATATGGAAGTGTCATGAGTCTGCAACTTAATGAATCAATGAAGATTTATATTCACTTATTCATAAAAAAGTTTGTCATTATTCTCAGGTGCTTCCTAGTATCACTAACTTTTTCGGTATCAACGGACTGTTATCTTTTAATATTTCAATTGTATTAAAGTTGATAGTGGACAAGAGCTGATATTGATTTGGTCTTTTAGAGGGGTGTGTAGCTATGATATGTTGATATGAATCAAAAAGATGATGACAAATACGAGTGGTTTCCTTCCAATTTTTGTTTTCTCATGATACCATAATATGTAAATATTTTTAATTGAATCATAAAACAAATGAAACATTAACATAAAAACATTGATGCACTAGTATCCAATCACATACAAGATATGTTTAGTTGCTTTATTTTCTTTCCAAGGATGCATTGTACAATTCAGTTGCTTGCTGTGCTTCCCACCTCAGCCAAATGGGCTCAACAAAAGAAACACGAAGAAGAAATAAAAAGAGTAAAAACTGAAAAGGCAAGGCCCAAGTCCTAGATCTCAATCTACAAGAATAGAAAGCTAAAGAAATGTCTCAAAAAAATTTACAACTTACAAGAACATAGAGACAAAACTAACAAAGACTGAGGCAATGAAGCGAAAAAGAGATAAAGAGAAAATTTTATAACAATTATGTAAAAAAAAAATATAAAAAAAAAGTTGTGAAGTGAAGAAATTTTGGTCAAGATTGAGAGATGATACGTGTGTATAGGAACTCGTTCCACGTGTCAGGTAACCCAGGTAGACACCAATGGATACAATCTGCATAAGTAGCAGGATCAGCTTGTTGTTCTGGACTTAATATTTTGCCTTGACGTATGGTGTAAACAGAGGTATGTGCATCTTTTCTAAACTCTGACAAAGTTGTGATGTTAAGGAAGTTCACTGGCACCTTCATCGACTGTGTCACATTGTTGGCAACAACAAAAAGCCTACGATCCGTGCCAACTTGCAATGTTGTGGACATGTTGAGAATTGGGGTGGTCTCTTTAGCACATTTTATGCCATCTGGGTTGTTCCAAGCTTCACTCCTACAATGGGAAATGCGTATAGTTATAAAATGTTAAATTCATAACCCACAATGCAAACTATGAACCATAAACTTTTGCAACCATAGTAGTATACTAGTGTGTCACTAAACCTAACTACCAAATATTTAACGTGAGATCACCAACCATGTTATTTAATTAGATCATAGAGAGGATGGCTTCACCTAATGGCACAACAAATAATATTGTAGTATTTGGGATTACATAATGCTCGTGGAGGATTATTGCACGAGGATTTGTTGTGTAGTTCAGATATTTATAAATGAGACAAATTATTAGATAACCCAAAAAAGTGGCCACGCGCAACTAATTTTGGGGACAGCAAAGTAGTCTATCAAACGTGACGAAAAGCAAGTGCTATTTAAGAACAATACATTTATTGGTATTACAAAAAGCAATTGTTGTTTTTTGACCAAAGAATCACTTTTTTTTTCTCTTAAATTAAAAGAGAGAAATTAAGGTTTGAGCATTACTTAATATGAAGAGGGGACATGCTGGAGAAGAAAACTTTGGTGCGATTTGGATCGATGTTATCTTCCACCCATTTAGACCACGTGTTGAGGACTCTCCCATATGCTATTGGTCGAGGGACTTCGTCGTACTCCGTTGATCCTTCATTAAACGACCCTCGTCTTTTGCATATACATCACCCCACAAACACAAACACTAAAAGTTTCATTCTTTTTTGATCCAAAAATAAGAAAGCATATATGGACGAATAAAGAGGACTAGAGAGAATATATATGACATGCTTACAAGACTTTCATAGTGGCAGTATTCATCCACCATATGTAGGTGTTAAAGATGAGATAGTCCACATTCTTCCAGTTAACAGCATGCTTTTCGATTGATTCAGTCATGATAATACGGTTCAATATGCTGTGCATCTTTGGATCATCTGAATTTGACTCTACAAGGAACGGTGCCCAGTAGAACTCCACTGTAGCATTATAATCCTGCACACACACAACCAGCTAGCTACTGAATCAACACGAGTGGATCCTAAGCTATACCATATGAGGTCCACCTTATCCCATGACGCAACACATTATGTTATATTCACCACTTCCTTAACTAACAGGTGATTGTCACGATATTCCAAAGCCAGATCAACGTGCAGACAAAAGCCAAAATAATAAATACTAGGTGACTTGGTTATTTAAATTGGTCAAGTAATTAATTCAGTGGTCCACCAACATGATTCTTATAATCTTATTAATTGCAACTTTTGTTAGCAATTTTAGTCAATAAGAGTCATAATTAATGAAATGGAACACTGTAGTAGCCTAGAATTATGCCAATGATTAATTATTATGTCAAATTATGTCGACAAAATGCCGAACTATAGCACCCCTACTTTTCTTTTGGAATCTCTTTTAATAAAATTGTTATGATATCAAATATGGACATATCTGTTAACAAGCCATTGCAAGATTATTCTTTTATGAAAGGTGTCCGATTCGAATATCGTGCATGTAAAAAAGTAATTAAAAATTACTGATAAAAGTCAATCAAGTTATCTAATAAAAATTACTCATTAATGGAATGAGATATAGAAAAAGGAAAAACAAGAACCTCAATTCTGAAGATAGAAAGAGAGCCAGTCTTGTTCAAGCTCTTTTTGCCTTGTGGTACAGCAGACTGGACCAAACAAATCATTGATTCCCATTGGTTCCTATTCAATGAGTCTCCAACAAACATTAGCCTCTTCCCTCTAAGCTTCTCAAGCAAAAGTTTCGGTTTGAACCTTGATAATTTCATACAAACATAATCAATATCTAATTCTAATAACAACATTAGTAAAGCAAAGAGAATTGAGAAAATAAAAGAGAAAGTGAAAGAACTAAAGTATGTACTTAGGCAAAGAGCAATCTCTTGGCTGCCATCTCCAATTCTGATAGAGAGAATCACGTCTTCCATTCCTCATGCAGGTGACTTGTGCAGTGAGGAATTCGCATTGTTCTTCTTTGTACAAAGGATGTGTCACGTTATCAAGAACCCACTCCCCAGTGAACAAGTCACACTCTTCTGGAGGCAACACAACCTCTTCTTTTTCTTCCCCATACTCTTCCACCATCATCTTCTCCTCTTTCTCCTGAGCCACAACGGCTTTCAAGTCAATCGGTTCTTGAGTTTCCTCGGAGTCCTCGACCTGGTTTTTCTCCAGCTGAGTTCTTGAGTTCTTGGAAACCGTTACTTCTGGTTCTTGGATTTCTTGAGCTTTAGGCCTCAAGAATGTTAACTCAGCCATTGACTTAACGTCCTCGTTGTACATGAAGACCCCAAAGAGGAACATGGAGAGAACCACCACGGCAATGGAGATGCTACTGTTCCTTTTGCCTTTCATTGTTGTGGTTTCTGAGTTGGGAATACTGTTCTTGCGGCGAGGAGGCTGCATGGAAGAGAGAAAGATAAAGAGAAAGAGTGAATAACAGAAGGCTTGGGTTTGAGGCCTTACAAGGAGGGGGGAGAAAGGGATGAAAATATAGAGAAAAAAATGAACAACATTGAGGAAGAGAAACCAAGATTTTTTTATTTTTTTTTTAAAGTTTAGTATTAGGTTGTGTTTGTTTAATTGGGGTTGGTGAAAGGGTGTTGTCGTTGAAGAAACTGGGACAGAAAAGGGTATCGGTGAAGTGAAGGAGGATTGTGTTTCTCACTCACGTTATCAAGTTCTTATTTGTTTCAGAATTTTTAATTCCTATAATGCATTTGCAACCGCTGTGAACGTTTCTCCCTCCCTTTCAGACAATACGTGTGAGAGAGGAGTGATCTCAAAGCCTTCGGAGTTGGTCCTAGTCGGAATCAGTTGAAAGGGTGCATGTGTGGTGTGGTGGAGTTCAGGCACTTTGGTAGACATAATGTTATTGTCTTTCAGTTTCACATTGCAAGGCTGTGTTTTGATCGATCATTGATGGTCAGAGAATGGCTTTTCTTTTTTTTTTTTTTTTCTTGGTAGAGAGTGTTGCGCTGGTTGTGTAGCCCCCACTAGAGTCTAGAATCTATCAAGTCAATGGTTATATAGAAGTTGTTTGGACCTATAAAATAGTAACTCACTTATATTTGCTGATTTGCCTCCTATTTCCACCTTTTTTAGGAAACAATTAGTGTTTTGTTGGGTCTACCTCTATCTGTGCAGGTCCCATGCAGAAACCCTGATTAGTGGCTAAGGTAGAAACCATTTGGATCAATTAGCTCAAACTCACGCCTCTCATCATGATCTTGGATATTTGATCTTCCTAATTGGTGCAACTGCATAAGCTTCATCTTTTCTGTTAACGGTTGGAGATAAAATTTCTTTGTAGACTACAGGACTATCACTGTTTAGTCATTGAACTAGTAGTGTTTGACATAACATGAACCTAACCTAAATCACAATCGTTAAAGCTAATTAATTGGTAATTCTTTTTAAAAGCAAATATTCAAATTATTACTATCTTTATGTTGGAGATAAGTAAAAGCTAAGGAATCCTTTGTGATTTTTTTAGAGTATTGAGTACACCGGCCACTTGTTTATTGCTATGTACTTGCCAACTTCATTTCCATTGGGTGTTTGTTTGATGGTGGGGACATGGCTTTTTTTCCAAGTTACGGCAATATGCACGAAAAGCTATAAAAGTGGTAATCTTCAAGAAAACATACATATATGTAAGCGTTCGTTTTAGTTTCAAAGGCAAAACTGCTCAAAACATCGAAGTCAGGTTCTCTTCAGTTATCTCCAAATCTCCCTCCTCACCTTCATTATCACTCTTTCAATCTCTTTTTCACTATCTGATCAACTTTCAGATGTGTACGTGCTAACAGCTAAATGGCAACTTCACTGTGTAAAAGCCAAAACATGTCTGATCAAAAAAGTAAAAGGATTAACAACCCCTTATAAATATATTCAAAAGATCACCCAAATCTTATCTAACACAAACATAAACAAGGTATAGGGACAGAAAATGAGACCTTAAAATTATATTAATGGTGTCTAACAGTGATAGGTTGTGGATCAGGCAGGTACTGCCAAAGAATGAGCAACAACTCTTGTCGAATTTCCACTGGTTGTTTTCAAATGCAGCTACTTTCCGGTACAGAAGGAAAAGAAAAAACCAAAGTCCTACTTCTTCTTACACCAGTTTTAAGCCATATCAGCATCAATATGTATGCCCAACTCATATCGTCATCGGTTTGATGTTGTTCAACTACTCTCGACCCTGAGCCAATCATTGCTGGGAGATAAATAATTTACAAAACAACCTTGTATGACCAACTACGAATCAACAATGTGTAGTTTTTCCTTTACTTCCGGAGAACCCAAATTCTTGTAGCATAGATATTTGCAAACCACATTTCATTAAATACCTTATCACTTTTCTTATCCGAAAAAAATATAAATATGCATAATATATAACATGTTTTTAATAATATTATCTAAAGATGAAGTAATTCAAGAATAATAAATAAAATTTTGTTTGCAAATAACACTATTATGTTAGTTGTTTAGGTGTCCGAGCAGGTAGAATCCCACATTTGACATTTTAATTGTCTAGGCATGTTTTATGCATTTGTTTAGCTGGACTTGTGATAATGAGAATAGGTAAGAGCATGATAGGTTAAGTCAAGTTTATCTATATTTTTACTAGGGACAAAATAATGACCAAATAATTTATTTAAACTTACTCCAATCAAGACTCAAATTAACAAGACCTTGTTAACTAGATATTTTAACATAATATATTAATATGAATATTATATATTTAGTTAAATTGTAAAATAAAATAAGTATAACAATTAAATCAAGATATATTTTACAATATATATTTTAAAATAAATAATTATATATATATATATAATTAATGCAAGACATTAAACAAAACTGGAACAATCCTTTAGAATGACTCGAAACCATCCTTAAAGGACAATGGATCTAATTTTAAAACATGAACTCGTTCAATCTTCTTTAAAATCGGGCGGACCTTGCAAACCCCTGCTTGAGAGTCTTCATACTGTAGCAACTCTTTCAAAATAAGCCAATTTAAGTACTGCTCTGAATTAGAACGTTACTTCAAATCAAGAAGATTACAACTGCAGTGAAGTTGTGTGTAACGATAAACAGGAAAAACATGACAAGACAACTATTCCTTTAAGAAAAAATTTGAGATAATTAAGGAAAAGCAGCTTGTTTTATGCGGATTTGTATTGATTATATAAAGATTGCATCCATGTGTTCTCACCCAGGTTTACAATATTCTCATGCCTAGAAAACAGCTCCCAAGAAAGAACTTTAGGGATACAATTCGTTTTGAAAACAAAATTGTAACAAGCCATCATGAGGATATTTCCAAATCACATTTCTTTCTTGAGATACATAATAATTTAAGGTGAATCAATACTGAAAAGCATGCACAACATTCATGAAGGAAGCTATTCTTGATTGATCCTTACGGATTCCATCTGATGCACAAATGCCACTGCTAACATCCACCCCTTCAGGCTTGAGTGTAGATAGAGCCTCAGAAACATTCTCAGGATTGATCCCTCCTGCTAAGAGCCAACCGTACTTGCTTTTGGTTTTTGGTAGTCTCAACTGGGCCCAATTGAATGCCTTACCACTGCAAAGACATCTTATGAGTTCTATGATATTCACGTGCAAGGGAAAAAGAAGATTATCTAACAAGCAGATGGACATTGAGCCATTCAAGATGTATGCCTTTACCTTCCACCCTTTGCACTATCTACAAGAACCCAATCAACTAGAGAACACTCTTCATCAGAAATTTTGTTTAAAAGGCTCCCGTCCTCATTTGCATGGAGAACATATATTACACGATTTTCCTGAACTAAAGATGGAAAAGCTAACCGAGATCCTTGTCCATGAAGCTGCATTGTCCAAATATCACAAAATTAAGCATTTAATTGTCATGGAAGGCACATTAACTGTAGGCAAAAAAAATACCTGCACAAATTCAAGGTTTGCTGCATCAGAAGCTCTTAGAATTGTTTCTGAATCATCATCCACAAATACACCCACAGGCTCTGCTCCATAATCCCTTGCAACTTTTGATATGTCCATTGCAATAGAAAGCGAAACTGAACGCTCTGAGTTAGGCCACATGATCATTCCAATAAAATTTGCACCAGCTTCAGCTGCCATTGCAGCATCTTTAGCTGATGTAATGCCACACATCTTAACCAAAGGTTGACTCTTTCCGAGCTCCTTTGATGAGCATGAATCATTGTCCACGTTGGTAAGGTTGCAGGAAACTTTATGCTTAAGACAGAACCTTACACTTGAAAATTGCAACTTCTCTCCTCTTAAACCTACAGAAATTATGTTAAAACATTTGAATATTGATTCATTTAAGAATTATGACCATGGTCACTATGCATGGTCAATGCAAGCAAAGACATGAAATTAAGTCCAAATGAGGATAAATGCTACTTTGGTTTCCACTTATATTGAGACACAGAGCAGAATAAGTACAAAGAATTGGACTACCATTAATTGGTCTTTGGTGGAATTTTGCAGCTCTAAGTTGCAAGTAACTCCCAGTGATTGAACCTGTACAAAGAGAACAACAGATCTTGCAAGGTCAGCTGAATTTCTTTTTCAAAAGTGCAGGGTTTGACATAAGTACCTGGAAAATTCTTTGTCACTGATAATAACATGAAAATGCTAAATAGATATACGCTTCAAGACAAATTTGAAAAAATACGTAGAAAATATAACACAACCTTATCACAATTGTGAAGAAACTGAGCATTTATAAAGAACAAAACTTGTGTCTATAAAACTATTTTTTATGACTGTAATAACAACAACAACAACAAGAAGTAAGCATTTCCCCACTAGATAATTAGGTCAGCTATATGAATCAAACCCCGTCATACTATTCTATTGTGAAGCATGCCTACGCATATGGGCAAAGCATTGATGATGGTTTTGCACATAGTTTTCCTTAGTCTTCCTCTACTTATCAATTGAGTTACCCTTCATCTAATCTATCCTCCTTATTAGATGTGATACACTCTTTTTTATGACTAATATGAAGATGAGTTGGTGACAAGCACTATGATAATTAAGGATAAGAATGTCCGTATAAACAACAATTGCCTATGATAAAATTGAATATAAGTAAATTGGGGATTCGCAATCCCTAAAAATTAACGTAATTATGAATGGAGGCAGGAAGGGTCAATCCGAGCAATAAATCCAGAAAAACCAAGCAACAGAACCTTATGCAATGCACGCATTACCTAACCTACTCTATAAATGAATTTGTCATGACAACAAACTACTGTCTTGTAGAACAAAGAGATTGGTAGAGCAATGCTTCCCCATCAAGCACTAATTACAATTTTGCAAACGAATGCTGAGTTATCAGAAACCAAGGTAGGAAAATGATCAAAGATGTGGGATGAAAAGAGAGTGACATGAAATGGGTAAAAGGAGAAACCTGAAACCATAGTGAAAGTTTGGAACGCTGATAAAAGCCTCAGTGCGGGAATCAAACAAAAGGAGGACGAATACACTTCGAATTTAATTATACTACAAAGAAGAATACAAGTATAATAATTACTAGTGAAAAAGAGTCTTTGCTATAAAAAATAACAAGAAAAAAATTCTTTGGTTAACTTTAAAAAAAGTGAGATAGTTAACTAAATTAATTAAGAGAGTAAAAATATTTAAAAGAATTTGATACTAAATTAGATATCTTATTTATTAATGTTATGGATGTTTGTTATTTTTTTCTCGTTATTTAAATAAATTAATTACCTTAAACCCTTTCTTTGGAACTACCTATTATTATTTAATCTCATTTTTTTTATTTCATTTCTTAAATAAAATAATTTTATGTATCTTTTACACTAGTATCTTATAATCTACATTTTTATATTTGTTCATAATGGTTGTTGCATCTCTACTTTTTTTTATGACTATTTTATCTTTAAATTTTTAAATAAATAGATTAGATTATATTTTTATTTCTATATATTTATTTGCAACGTTTGTCTCTCTAATTTAAAATTGAACCATTTAATCAATTTTATTTTAAAAATATGAAATTTCATTTTTTTATCATTAAATTTTAATATTATTTAATGACCTATTATCATTTAAGTGGACTAATATTTACTAACGTGATATATAGAGATATAAATTTAAAAAGAGCATATAAAAATGTTTGTTTATATATGTCTTAACAAGTGATCATTATTTATTCTATTAATAAGTCTTATTTACATTTTTTTTTTATTTCTACACATCAATTAAGTATGATAAAGATTAAAATTTAATAATTAATATATGTTAGTTTGACAAAAAATTATATTTTTAAAAATTAAAAAAAAAACTAAATATCTTTATTTGTAATAAAAGAATCAAAATTGTGAATTGATAAAAATAAAAGGATTAATTACATAATTTAGTTAAATAAATAATAATACAAATATAATAAATAGAAAAACTTTGTTATTATATTGTTGGTATTATTTTCTAATAAAAATTATTATTTTAATTATAATAATATATGAAAGTATATATTATTGAAATGAAACTCTAATCCTATCATAAAATGCATCCATGTACTTACTTAAGTTTTGTCATAGTATTAAAATCAACAAATTTTTAGTGCTAAAAAAAATGTCAAATTCATCCGATCAATTAGATGAACACTCCTAATTATAAAATGTACAATACTACAATATAATTTTTTTTAACTGAAATAAATGGTTATTCACTTATTTGAGTTCTTTCTAATTTTTTCTTCTATGTTTAAGAAACAAAGAGTTCTAAAAGAAAAATTTTGGTAAAAAGAATATGTATGCTGAAAGCAATCTTATTCAAATTAGATAAAATTATCACTCGTGATATTTAACACAATTAATACATACTTGAATTGGATATCACGAAATAGTTGTAATTCTAATTAATTAATTATGTAAGCGCAGTTTGAATGATTGTTATCTGTTCAGCTGATAGTTGGCCCAGTATTCTTAAATCCTGATGCATTAAGCCTTAAATGATACACCAGGCCTGGGCTTTTCTTAACTCATTCATCACTGGGTCGTCGTCACAAGAGTCCTCAAAATATATAGTTTCTTACTTTTGTTATATATATATACATACTAGCGTAAAAAAATACTTCATATTTTTAATGTATTTTTAGAGTATAAAAAATAAGTGAATTATTAACTATTTAAAAATAAAAAAATAAAAGTAAATTATTAATAATATGGACAATTTTTTTAAATAGTTATAGTTGTAAGAATAGTTTTTAAGCTGTTTAGAAAAGTAGAAAAAATTTTAAAAAAATGACGAGAAAGCGTATCATTTTGTCCCGAAAATGATTTTGGAATTCGAAATTACAATTTAAAAATGGCATTAAATTAAAATATTAAAAATACGTTACAGGCGTCTAAATACATTACAATATTTTAAAACACTATTAAAAAAATTAATAAATTTAAAAGTGACAATAAAATTAAATGTAATAAAATTAAATATTGTTCAACAAAAAATTAAATGTAATAAAATCGCTATTCGTAATATATTCAAAATTCAAAATAAATTATATATAATAATCTTATTCATATAAAATAATAAATATAACATTTAAGTAAATAATGCATGAAAAAAAAAATAAACTATCTTAATTTAAAATATTTTATTTTCTTAATTAATATTCTATATTTTGTTACTCATTTCTGTCGCAACCCGAAAATTTCCGATCTCGCGACTAATGGTTTAGACATCCTTTTAAAAGTTTCATCAATTAAGGAATGTCCGGACACCAGACTAATCCTTACCTTAATTAATGGTTTTAAAAAATGAGTTCATGAAGTCGCCACCAATGTTTTACTCAAAATATTGGAAAAAGAAAATATTGTTTAAAGTCCAATAATGGCCTTGATAACCAAAATTGGGTTCAGAGGTCGGTTACATGTAGGGAAGCTATTAAGCACCCCTACAACGCCCTTAATCGGTACCCTATGACGAAGTTAACATTATAAACAACAATAATATAAATATTAAATTCCCTTTTATTGATGATAATTATTTACATGCTTGAAATTTAAATTAAACAATTGACTCTGAAATATCTACATGATTGCGTTTATTATAACAATATTTATCAAAAATAAGAGACAAAAGAGAGAGAAGAAGATTGATTGAAATACCTTGTATCAAGCTTTATTAAATCTTTCAATATGGAGATTCTAAGTGCTTTGTGACAACCTTTCACACTACAATGCCTCACAAAATCTCAAGAAATACAAGAGAGAAAACGAGAGAGAAAAAGAGAGAAATTTCGAGCTCTAAAAGTTTGGACGAAATTTTGGAGACCCTCAGAAATGTGCTCAAACTGTCTATTTATAGGCTTCAGACAGGGTCCAGAATGGCCCGTTTCGAAAACGGAACGACCCGTTCTGATTATGGCCGTTACGTGTAAATTTTGTAACTGGAACGTCCCGTTCTGAAATTGGAACGGGTCGTTCCAGTGATAAAATTAACATGTCACTCGGTATGTTGGAATGGGCGTTTCAAACAAGGATCCTTAGGCTTTTTTTATAAGTTGGAACGGCCATTCCAGTTTAGGAACGGCCCGTTCCAGTGAAAGCTTTAGCCCTCTTTTAAGAGTTTGGAACGGCCCGTTCCAATTTAGGAACGGCCTGTTCCAAATTGGGAATGGCTCGTTCCGGTTTTGAAACAACACGTTCCAATCTTCTAGAATTAACTTGTTTGGGCTTTTGGGCCTTCTAAAGTCCTGTCTTGTTATTTGCATACTTCGGGAGCTCCTTCCCTTCATAACAAAGGTCCATTTCCTTGTTTGTATCCTCCCGGACGAAATTGGATGTCTACAATTTCAACACAAAATTAACCCAAGTTTGTGATTAAAAAAAACTTTAAAAAAATACTAAAAAAATGTAAACTATTAATGTTAAGTATCCATACTATACTTACACATGAATACACAAGTAATTTTATTACTTCAAGTCGTTGTTCAATAAGTCTTTATCATCATAATCTTTATCTTTCATATTTTATAGTTTTCGATAATACTTGTTCAAAGAGTTAATATAATTAATGTTGTAATAAATGAAAAAATATCTTATTTCTTTTAATATGTTATTATTTATATTAACCTTATTAAGTTGATAACAGATTCATTTATCTATTTAATTATCTTCATAAATATTTTTAAATTATTTATAAACTTATCTAATTTTTGATAAAATTTAAGGAGTGTTCCATTTTATTCCTTGATTTAACCCTTCTCATATATACACTTTTATTTATATGTTTATTTTCACGTTTACAATTGACAAACTTACATTTAACTCAATCCACCATATTTATACTTTTTGTTTGGGTGCATAAGAATACATGTGGATTATTCAACCACACTATTCTATCTCTAATCATTAATGAGAAGAAAAAAAAATCCATCTAAAATAATTCAATCATATACCTTACAAATTTAATTATCAATTTAAAAATCTTTACAACTACCTAATTAAAAAAGCTTGGATGACAAACATAAAAACAATGTGAACATTAAATAAACCGATTGAGAAAATTAAGGACAGTCTATTCACCTAAGCTAAAATAGAATTGCTCACTCCCATTCTGTCCCAGCATGAAACTTGTTATACTAGGAAATCAACACAAGACAACTCATGCTGCCTACCTTTTGTTTTTTCTTTTAAACTAAGATTACTTACCCTCAAAATTTCCTATATATAGAATTATAGTTTTTTTTTTTTTTTTTTTTTTTTTTTTTGCTAAAAACCTATTTTGGACCCTTATAATATTTTTTTGTTTTAATTTAGTCTCTCATTAATTTTTGGTCTCAATTTGGTCCCAAACTAATTAATTGGTTTCAATTTAGTCCCTCATAAATTAATTGGTTTCAATGTGGGACTTTCCGTCCAAATTTCTTTAACGGAATTAATTGTTGGCCACGTGGATGCCACGTAGATGCATAGGTAGATGCCACGTGGATGTCAAATTTTTTGAAAACCACTGGAACCAGAACGGCCCGTTCTGAAACCGGAACGACCCGTTCTGGTTACACTTTCGGTGTGTTAATTTTGCATTCGGAACGACCCGTTCCTGGTGCAACATTAACAGACTAAAAGTGCAACCAGAACGGTCCGTTCTGATTTCAGAACGGGCCGTTCCGGTTCCAGGTGTTTTCAGCAAAATTGGCATCATGAGTCATCCACGTGGCATCCACCTATCTATCTACATGGCATCCACGTGGCCAACAGTTAACACCGTCAAACACTGAATTTGGTAATATTGTCAATGAAAATTGATAACTTCAATTGTTAAACAGTTAGACTATACAGTGTAGAACCTAAAGTAAAGGAAGATGATACACAGGACTAACATTTTACCACACAACTATATGTAGGG